AGTTCTTGCCTTGAGTGATCCAGCTATACTGCACTTCTCGAAGCCTTCTGTAGTAGGGTTGCTGGGCTATCATGGGTATATATTGTTCTGATTGATACTGTGTCTTCACACTAGTGTGCAGACATCTAGGTATTCTGGTTTAGGATGATTGTAATTCCAGGTGCTCATATTTCATCTTGTTTTGCTGTATGGGTGTTTCATTTCTTGGTTTCTGTTGCCCTGTTTCTTAGGAAGTTGTGAGTTGCCAGGTAGGAAATGCTTCTTCGATTCTGCCAGGTGTGGCCACTGGGGTTCTGGGTAGATTGTTCCTCTAGGTATTGGTTTCCAAGAAGAATGCTTTTCTAGGTATTGGGTGTTGATAGTAATGAGGCTGAGCTAGGACTGGAGGTTTAGGGAGTCCAGAGGATAAAGCAAAGCAAGGTATGCCACCAGGATCTGCTTAGTCCCTTGGGAATGGGGGTAGAGAAGAAGAGACCACAGCAGGCAGTCTGAGATGACAGTGGGAGAGTGGTTTTGTGGGAAGAGGAGGGAGACTGAAGACCTGATGATCTCCTACCCTGCTTCACTTGGTCAATGGGTTCCTGGAGTTGGTGACTGAGACAAAGTGTGGGGTGGTGAAGTATGTAGGAAAAAATCCGAGTGATTCACTGGAGATGGGAACAGAGAGGAAAGGAGACCAGACCGGTGGTCTGCTGCAGAACGGGGGATGAGACTGGGGATTGGATTTGGAGGAGAGAAGGAGGAGTGAAGGTCTGAGGATTACCTACCTGCCTTACTGGAGGGATTTATGCCTGGTAATGTATTTGTGACTTGTGAGGTTATAGGTTCTGTAGAGGAGCATACCATTGCCACTCTCCTAAACCAAGTATAAGTCCAACTACATTCTAAATATTTATTTGTTCCTAAATATTTATTCTTTTTTTAGTGTTTTTCTTATTTATTGTTTTTGTTGAGTTATATTTTTTTCTCCACTCTCCTCCCTTCCTCTCCCCTCCCTTCTGCACTCTCCCATGGTCCCCAAATTTACTTGTCTTTTTCTACTTCCTATATAGACTATATCCATGTATGTCCCTCTTAGAGTCCTCTTTGTTGTCTAGGTTCTCTGGAATTGTGAACTAAATGCTCATTCTTATACATACAGATAAGTATGACTCTTCGCCCTCATCAAAAATGGAAACTATTACAGAAATACATAACTGGTCAGAATGCAAAACAAACAAACAAAAACCCGAAAAACAGGCTGTGGGGCACCCAACCCCAAGTGTTATTTCTACAATGCAACTATTATACCCAAGACTCAGGTCATACTGCAGATATTGTAAGATACGTAGGACTAAGATGTCTTCTGTGAGATTGTGTCTTCTGTACATGAAAATCTCAACAATGCGATCACCTAAACGGGACCTGCATAAGGACATCTCCAGGTAACACTCCAATACAGATGAGGGATACTCACATAGTCCCAAGCCTAGATGAAAAGCCATGGCTTCTGAGAAAGGGAGGATCATTCTTCTCCAGCACTGAGCCAACTGACAAATTATATAATCCCAAACAGTCAGTCATAAATACATATACGTATGAACAACACTCAGTGGACTCATTAGGTTATACACGTACAAATAGGTATATATAGGTAAAAGCAGTAACATGAACAAAAGAAGTCAGTTATTTAAGGGGAGGACACAGGAGAGAGGAATGATGTAAATACAGTACCCAAGTATAATTTTTTAAAAAAAAGGAAAAGCTTAAAGAAAAGAAAAGAAAGTGGCAGGAATAGGTCATGCTGAAGAACACACTAGAGGGCTTACATGACCAGCCACATACCACAGGCTGTGTAACACTCTGCATTATAGACATAATCACCGGGGGACCGGAGAGATGGCTCAGTGGTTAAGAACACTAGCTGCTCTTCCAAAGGTCCTGAGTTCAATTCCCAGCAACCACGTGGTGGGCTTACAATTATCTATATATGTGCAGACAGATCACTCATACGTTTAAAAAAAAAAAAAAAAGAATGCTTGGCAAGCCGCAATCACTGGCACAGTGATAAGCAAACTGACCCGTGGAACTAGAGTCCAAAAATACACTCCTGTGAGTCTGTCACCTGGCGTTTGACAGAAACCACACCAAAGACCAAAGACCAGCGAGGAAAGGAAGATATTTTTACAAATGTTGCTGGGTCAACTGAATGTGTGCGTAGAAAATGCACATCTCTACGGAAAATCAATTTATAAAGAATGCAGGTTAGAATATAGATAACCTTGACTAATTAAAGGAGGGTCTGTGTGACAAACTCGTGTATGCTAAAATTATAAACTTTTATTGATAAAAGGACAATATTTAAAAATATCCAAAAGGTGGATATACGTTTGGAGACAAGATATATCTAAAGAATAACATCCAAAAGAAAGAACTTCTGGAAGTGAATGAGAGAGAGTCAGGAACTTACATTCTAACAGACTCCTGATAGGATGTCGGTCAGTTCAAATGCTTTGCAAAACCTGGGTGGCTTCTGTGTCCCAGCAACTCTGCTTCTACAGAGGCACAAGGTAGAACTGTGTCCCTTTGGTTTTCCTTTTTAAATTGAATGCTGGTTGCTTAAGATACATTTGCTATGGGCGATCCCTTAGGCAGCGTTCTTAGGACCTAGGACATTAAAAAAAATTGCAGCCTTACAGCATATAACTTATGTTTTGGTGCCTGAAAATTACAAATTATGGCTTGCGTTTCTTTTTTCGTTTTTAGATTTATTTCTTTTCTTTTGTGTGTAGGAGCGGTTTGTCTGCATGTGTGTATGATGTATGTGTCTGGTTCCCATAGAGGCTAGAAGAAGTCATAGGATCCCTGGAACTGAAGTTACCAGTGTTGTGAGTCACCAGGTGGGTTTTGGGAACTAGCCCTGGTCCTCTGCAAAAGGAACAAGTGCTCTGAACCACTGAACATTTCTTCGGCTCAATTTGCATTTCTTGTACTTGGAATTTGGATCTCTCACTGCATTAAGTTTAAAACCATTGTAGCAATAACTTTAAAATATTCTGTGTATTTGTTGCCTAACATAGAATGAGTTTTAATACTGAGTACTTTAAGAACAGAATTCTTGGAATTAAAACCGTTCTCCGCTCTTACTGTGTGACACTGGGAAAATTTTGAGCACTTCATGACTCCATTCCTTCATTGTAAAATGATGGTGCTAATAACAGCGTCTATTTTCAATACAGAGGACTTGGTGCAGCTGCAACCACACTGAAAGGGCTCAGTAAGAGTTCGCCAGTTTTTAGTAACGTCACGATTGCTCCATAAATACTTGAAGAGCACTGTGCAAATCTGAGTGATGGTTTCCAGAGCTTAAAGACTGAAGAGGGAGAAGATGTGGAATTAAGACCCCAGAACACTCAGGGCAATGACCCACACAGCCCAAGCACACACAGTTATAGATTCCGTTACTGGTGTATCCAAGAGGGGACTAAAGAAGCATATTTCTCTGGTAGATGAGAACTGTGTTTCCATCTAGATGATGGGTAGGAAACCATATATGTGACTACATTCAGAATGAAGGTTTGATTGGTGCTTTAGAAAGAGATTTACTAGTATTGGCTAGGGAGTCTAAAGAGGAGAAACCAAGAGGTCAAAAAAATACAGTCAAGCCGAGAGGTAGTGGCAGACACCTTTAATCCCAGCACTCAGAGAGGCAGAGGCAGGTGAATATTTGTGAGTTTAAGACCAGCCTGGTCTAAAGAGTGACTTTCAGGACAGCCAGAGAGACACAGAGAAACCCTGTCTAGAAAAAACAAAAACAAAACAAACAAAAGCAAAAAACAAACAAACAAAAATCAATCATACAGCCCTAAGAAGAGTGTGTGCTGTTAACAGCCCAGATAAACTAGAATTGCATGTAAAATTACTTTGCTGTTTCTCGGATTTGTTTTTTTTTTTAAATCATAGTAAAATAAAATGACCATGAATATGCTAACAATACAGATGCTACGAAAATGTGAGGATCTGGTTTAACCCCAAGAACGGAATACACATAAGCAGAAGGAGAGAACCTGCTCCGTAAAGTTGTCACCTAACCTCCATATGTGTACTGTATGTGATGCCCACCCCACACATTACATACACACAAAATAATAAAAAAAAAAATAAGGCCGGGTGGTGGGGGCTCACGACTTTAATCTCAGCACTCAGGAGGCAGAGGCAGGCAGATCTCTGTGAGTTCGAGGCCAGCCTGTTCTACAGAGCTAATTTCAGAACAGCTAGGATTGTTACACAGAGAAACCCTGTTTCGAAAAACCAAAAAGTAAAATAAAATGCAAATTTTCGTCAACTCTATTCATAGCATATAAGCTTGTAACAAAACTACCAAGTTCATATGAATGTACTGTTGTCATGGTTTCAAAAATTTGGAAAGTCTTTGAAATCACTTTTTGAGAAATGAGAGCGCTGATTTGATATAAAACCCCCTAATTCAACCATTTAAAAGATCCTAGGGCTCTTGTGAGATGCTCTCAGTGGGCTGAGACTTAGTATTCATGATCCCGCCTTGTTTCTGGAAAGTTCACAAAAGGAAAGCCAGCCACTAAATAATGACTTTATTCTAAATATAGTTTATTATGGGCTGGCTCCACAAGTCTTAGGGCAAGGTTTTTCTAAACTACAGGAGGGAGACCGCTACTCTGGAGCTTGGAAAAACTGGTAGTAGGAAAAAGTGGGAATCACCTTCCCAACAGGCACTCCAGAGCTTTGGACCCTTTGCACCTCAAGGTCCGATCTCTGCCCTCCCTCCGCCTCTCCTCCCCCGCCCCACGCCGCTGGAGTTGTGAGCTCCCAGTCTTGCCCCACCCCTTCCGTAGCCCCGCCTACAGATGCTCTGTCCTCAATGGGCCCCGGGATGGGGGAGGCCAGGGGCGGGGCTCACCCCTTGCCCTCGGGTCTCCCAGGCTCCACCAATCAGAGAGCGCCCTGTTGGCCATCCGCCGCTCCAGTGCCCCTCCCTCTCCCGCCGGCCCCTGCGTCCCCAAATCCAAGATGGCGGGGTCCAGACGGAGGGGTTCCCGGGCTGGAGCGCGGCCGTTCCTTTGCGCCCTGCTGCTGTCTTTCAGCCGATTCGTCGGGAGCGATGGCACTGGAGGCGACGCTGCGGCGCCCGGCGCCGCGGGCACCCAAGCCGAGTTGCCGCACCGCCGTTTCGAGTACAAATACAGCTTTAAAGGGCCGCATCTGGTGCAGAGCGATGGATCTGTGCCCTTCTGGGCCCACGCGGGGAGTAAGCTGGGGCCGGGCCGGGGTCGGGGGCTGGGTTCCCTCCTTGCTTTCCGTCTATCTCCCCAATGCCCTGCAGGGCCGAGGGTCAGCTCCAGCTCTGCACGACACAGACGCTGGAGCAGGACTCCCCAGGCAGCCCCTACTCCAGGTCCCCAGCTCGCAGGTTCCCCGCGTGTCCCGAGTCTTCTCACCCAACTTGTCCACCCATTTCCCAATCTTCCCTTTCTTAATCTCATCAGCACTTTGTTTGTTCGGAGGTGTTTTGTTACTTTCTGTGCTCAAACCAGCTTCTGGGTGTCACGTTACAATATACCCTGATGCCACGTCTCAAGGGTACACTTTGCCTGGCCATAGCAATTGAGACCAGTTCCAGCAACCTCCTTCTGCTTGCTTGTTTTAGGGAGTTAGCAGTGACCGGGTTTGTACTTTATTTCCCGAATGCTCCAGGATAGCATAGAGTCTTAGAGTGATTTTTAGGTCTTTGGATGTCGTTCTTAAAGTGTTGGGCTTACACCATAGAACCGCCTCCCAGTTGACGGTGTGTGTGGTCTTTAATCTTCACACTATAAACTTCATATTCGTGTCTTTGTTTAGTTAGTGCAGGAGATAGAGTTTTGTATTGATGGCTTCTGAACTTGGGACTAAGAATAGTCATAGCTTCTCAAAATGAGGTGGTTTCTGCTTCAGGCTTTAGTCACGCTGACCCAGATGACAGAACTGTGTCTGAGCATCGCTCAGTGAAACGAAAACGTCGCCACACTTTTAATGCTGATGTGTCACAGCTGACCAAAGAGTATCGGTAGCATTTGTCTTCCCATAAGCTCCTCGGTGACTGCCCGATACATCCAAGTAGTAAATACCATCTACTTTCGTGTGTAATTAAGGAATCATTTATAGAAGGCCTTTTTATATGTCACGAGATTGTCCAGTGGCTGAAACAAAATGCTTCATTGCTAGAAAATAATTGCTAAATAGAAAGCACACTTCCAGGAAGGGCCGTTTTCCTCAAATTAATGTGCAATTATCAGATGTAAATTTCATTGAATTTAATGACCAAGTCATTATGTAGTTGAAACAGGGTGCAATGCAATTATGCTGTTACTCAGTTCATTTATTATAAGCCTTCTGGGCTCGTGGTATCAAGATGGCATCAAAGATGATGGTGCATGACTCCAAACACAGGTTTTCAGATCTTCTGTTTGTGTTTTTAAGACTTTTGGAAGTGGCGGTGAATTTGTGGGCACCTCTCCGTCACCTGTCTGCTGTTCTCAGTCTTTTCCACCGCAGTCACGCATCAGCAAATGCAAAGTGTTAATCAACTACTGAAATTAGTTACCGTCACTCTTTCACAGAGCCACAAGCAACAGATATAGTCAGACTAAAGGACTGGATCTGTAGCCTCGTTGGTAGGATGCTTGCCCAGCGTGCATCAAGCCCTGGGTTCAATCTGTAGCACCCGATAAGCTGGGTGTAGTGGTTCACACTTGATCCCAGTGCTAACTACGCTGGGGGTGGAAGCAAGAAGATCAGAAGTTCAAGGTCATCCGTGGCTGAGTTTAACTACAGCTTGGGTGAAAGACAGGGTGCTGCGTGGGGAGGGTGCTGTCTATTGTATCCCAGTGCAAGTGTGTGGCCAAAGTATTTTACTGTTTCAGTCATGACTTGATCTGTTTGCTGACTCTGACACTCAGTGGTCTGGATGGCATGGACATCCACTGCTTTCGTGGTTTCTGTAACTTTTCATCTTACTCTATTAATGCCGTTGGTCGTTTTTCTCCCTTCTCATTTCTTCTTGCAATCTGTCATTTGAAACCAGAAAAAATGAAGAAACTTAGGATTTAGTTTAAACATAGCCCATTACATTCAGCCCTAATTAGGATCACCCATTTCTCTTTTTTAAATCTTATGTCCTTTTGTACTGTCGGTACATATCCTTAGGTCCACAAGGGCAAGAAATGATAATAATCTGGAACTGTTCATAACTTTCAAAGCTCTCCCCTCCGTTCTCCTATTTGAGCTGTACTAGGCAGCCAGACATCTCCTGTATAGATGGAGCGAGAACTACAGACAGACAAAGGTTCTGGGACATTTTCTCAAATCTTCAGATTCTCTGTGCAGGCCTTTTCCATAGTGTTCTCCCCACCCTGTGAGTGTTTGAGCCAGTGAGTCCACTAAAGTATCCTAGCTCTCCTTTCCTCCCTACAAAGTGGAGTCCTCACAGTCAGAATTATTACAGTCTGAAAGAGTCTGTTAGAATTGTTCAAAATGTAGGCCTTTTCACATACCTTGGTAATTAGCCAATAGTAAGAGGATTGAAAGATTTATAGGCATGTTTGGTTTTTTTGTGGCTCAGTTTATTGGATTTTGTGGAGTCTGTGTTTGATCTTTTACAGACTGGGTGTACTCAGCAGTCTGTCTATCCATGCTCCTTGTCCGGTGCCACCAGATGATATTAGCGGTTCCAGTCAGTGACGTTGTTGGTTTTGTTTCCTGACTCTGAGGTCCCGGGAGTCAAACACACAGCCCATGAGTGATAAGACTTGCTTTTTCACTGATCCATGTGCCAACTCCTTAATGTATTTTAAAATTGAAGCCTGCTTGTTGTTGTTTTAAATATGATATTGTTGCACACTCAGTATATCGTATAGATGTAACTTTTAGATGATCTGGAAAACCCCAAAAGTTATGTGCCTAGCTTTGCTGTGATTGTGTGAAACCGAGCCAGCAATATCCCTGTGCTGTGCCTACGTGTGCATTCATATGCATTGCATACCAATGACACACTGAAGATCGGCAGCCACAAGTGCCTGGACTGGGACTTGAACCGGCTACTTTTGAGAATCCCATGTTTTCTCTGAGAGTCCACCGTAGTTAAAGAATTGCTTTATTTATTTGGCCCTTTTCCTGGGAAAATGTATATATGCAGGATATTTTGCATATGATTTTGCAATGTTTAGAGAAGTTGTCAGGCCTGCCCCTTTCATTTACAGACATAAATGATGAAACTAATAAAATACCGGATGATTTGTTCAAAATCACAGCTGAACTTGATCCCTAGTGCTTGGTTCTCATGGTTTTTTTCTAATGTTTTAACTGTATATATACAGTTTGTGGTGTGTAACTGGTGAAACATGTAGACTTTTAATATTGGGGAAATTTTATTAAAAATAGATTAGGAAAATCAAATTAGCAGCTTGCTTTTTTATTAAAAATTCATACAATATATTCTGATGACTGTTTACCCTTCCCAGATCCTCACCACATCCTCATCATCCATCCAACTCTGTGCCTCTCTCTCTTTAGAAAACTAATGAAAAAACAAACAAACCAGAATTTTAAAAAAAAGAAAAACAGAAAAAGAATTTTAAAAATCACAAGAAACATACACAGAAACAAAACCCATAAAAACACAAAATTGGAAACCATAATATAAAAGCAAAAGTTTGAAGCCTTGGTCTCCTTCCTTGGTCTCTGGTACTTTTACTGTGTTATATGGGGATGTAGGATTGCAGGTGCATTTCTTTGTTCAAAGACAAAAAAGATACTGCTCCTTTCACATTTCAAAGTCATAACTGGCAGCCTGAAGCCATGTCTAACAAGATTCTTGTGTACAGTAAGAAGGTAAAATTTCTTCTTTGTAACTCTATATGTAGCAGTTCGGCAGTGATGCATTGAATTCTGCATAATTATAACTTAAAGCTTTCCTCTTCTGATTTTTGCTGTAGATGCTATTCCAAGTTCAGATCAAATTCGAATAGCACCATCATTAAAAAGCCAGCGAGGTTCAGTGTGGACAAAAACGAAAGCAGCCTTCGAGAACTGGGAGGTGGAAGTGACATTTCGAGTGACCGGAAGAGGTCGAATTGGAGCTGATGGCCTAGTATGCCCGTTTCTGTTGCTTGAGCCAGTCTAGCTGCATAAACCACTGGTTCCTAACTGTTTCCTCTTACGTATTTTCCAGGCAATTTGGTATACAGAAAATCAAGGTTTGGACGGCCCTGTGTTTGGATCAGCTGATCTGTGGAATGGTGTTGGAGTGTTTTTTGATTCTTTTGACAATGATGGAAAGGTATATTTTTTGTTAAAACTGTTAGCCATTTTCCATTTTACTGTATTTTTAGCAGAGTTAGGCTGTGAGAAGGTAATTCGCCTGACACCTTTAATAATAAAGAACGTGGTTGATAGTCTGAGCATGGTCATTAGTCTTGGTAGCAGAGAATCTCACAACTGAAAGCTTTGCAGACACGATTTTTCCCACACTAATTTACAGTCATGATGAAGAAGTAGCTCTGAGAACCTGTCAGTGATTCACACCGTGTATGCTTAGTAACTGAAAAAACCAGCATGAATCTTTAGATGTGGGCAGTGAAGCCAATAGTGTCTAGGAAGCCATGGCGGTACTCAGGTGCTGGGCGCGGTGACCCTCACCCTCAGCTCTCCTGTGTTAATTACTTTTTGGTCAAACGTTCTGATGACATCTGAAAAACAAAACATACTTAGATGCTGAAGCATTAACCTGTGGCTTGGACGCTTTAAGGTTGGCTGGTGGTCGTCCCTTTCGCTAGTTGTTACTGATTTCCAGAGGTTGCTGTCAGCAATTTAAAGAAATTTTAATGATGCATTGAAAGCTTAGGCCACACTATTTCAGAAGTTTAAGAGTTCTGGAATCTTAGCAGTATGAGTTTTCATAGCACATGAAGAATGGTGAAGTTTTCTATGAAACATACTAAAATATTTTCTCTTTATTTTTTAGAAAAATAATCCTGCTATAGTAGTTATAGGCAACAATGGACAAATTAATTATGACCATCAAAAGTAAGTGGGATTTTGCCTTGTTTCTCATTTCAGCTTTTCTTTGGCAACCTCATGAAATATATTGCTTCACATCTCAAAACTCTCCCAACCAAATAAGATGTTTCTTTTCTTGAACTGTTATATTGTAACTCACTGAAAAGTTTTACTTTTCCTTTCCTGTGTTGAAGTTCTTTCTGTGAACCAAACTTTTCATGTTTATTGAAAGAGATCTTTCAAAAATGAATTTAGTTTTCACCCAACTAATGAGTCCCCAGTCATTAAATGTGTCACCATTTTCAACACTAATGTCACTTTACGACTGTCGGTGCGTTACAGAGTTTCCAGGTGTTGAGTGGAAGAAAATTTCTTACCCACGCCTGGCTTTGGTCTCTCCTATCTCGGTGGCTGCTATGGTGGTGGTTCTTTGCCATCCCTGGTCGAGTGGTTTAAACTAGAAGTGCCTGGCCGGTTCCTTTAGATTCAGCTTCAGCTTCAGCTGGCTGGGGTGGAGGTGACTCCAGGAGTGACTGGGGTGCAACTCAGTTGTAGAGCCCTTGCCTAGCATATGTGAGACTCTAGGTCCAGTTCCCAGTACCACAAAAATAAACAATGAGTGATCTGAATGCTGTCCTCTCTCCTAATAGCACATCCTCCCTCCCTTCAGCACCCAGTGGCCTTGGGACTTCCCTTCCAGTGTCTCCAGAGTTCTGACAGGAAAGACTGAGTCTTCCTGAATCTTGAATACTAAAAGCCTTCTTTTCTTCTCCCTCCCACTGCAGTGATGGCACCACTCAAGCTTTAGCGAGTTGTCAGAGGGACTTTCGTAATAAACCCTATCCTGTGCGCGCAAAGATTACCTATTACCAGAGGACGCTGACGGTAAGTGACGGGAACCAAATAAGCAACACTCTTCCTGACTTTTCTTTTGAATTTTTGACAGAAGTTAATGTACTTAAGCATGGGTATCTGCACATCTGTATGCATTGCCCTGAGAACAGAATTAAGTGTGTTATCTGGTGTATGTTATTTCCTGTAGTGAGCTTTGTCAGTAAGTTTCTGCCTGGTCAGAGGAGCACATATCCAAGTCTTCAGGATACCAATATGAGTAAGACAAAGACCTTTCTCTTTGGAGAGCTTGCAGGCCCTAGAGGAAACACTAGCGTCACTGTGCTGTGTGACAAGGGCTAGGGAATTGAGATAGCGTTAAGGAATTGTGACCTTGGAACCTGCACCCTGAGAAATGACCCTGGGAAAAGTCCAGAAGTGGTTCAGTTGAGATGCACCTCAGAGCAGGACCGGGAGTGTATGTATGTTTCAGGCACAGAAAGCAGATAGGGTCTCAAAGAAGCTGAACGTTTGAGAGAGCAAGTAGTTTGCTGAAGTGTGAAGACAGACGTCCCGGGAGTGGGGTGGAAGGCCTGACAGTGACCCTCCTGTGAGGAAGGTTTAAGAGAGTTGGTGTTCTCAGCAGGAAGTGGAATTGTGGTGTAGGCAGTTTTAACAAGTGACTTAGCCTGGCGTTTTGTGCTTTAAATGCAGCTCCGCAAAGGGCCAGGCTCTCTGGAGAAACTGAATGTGGGAGGTTTTAAGTAACTCAGACAGAATTACAGTTTGAACAGCTCCGCCCTATCCACAGGGCTCCACTCACTACCAGACCTGAGGTGACAGGTGCCTAAAGGAAGACCGGAGAGATGGGCAACACTGTCATTGGCTAACCCAGGATAACCAGAGCATTTGAATTCCTGCTGTGATCTATTCAGAATGACCACGACTCCCTAAGAGTCTGCAAGAGAGGAACTTACTTCACTGTAGAAAGATTGTTAAACTATCAACATTTTCTCTTTTTGAGCCTTTGACAAATGATGGGTTAAAAAAAATGAAGTGAACGATCTTACTGTGTAATGGTGGTTAGTAAGTGGGTTTATCGCAAATTATCCTTTGTAGGGCTGGGGAGTGGATAAAGAACTCGGTGCCCTGTGAGTCTGAGAGGCAGAGCTCAAATTCCCGGAAACTGTGTAAAAACTGAGAAGGAATGTGACCACCTGGAATCCCAGCACTCAAGAGCCAGGGCAAAATGGCTTACTGGTCTAGAGAATCACTGAGCTCTGGGATCAATTTAAGGACCCTGACTCAGTCAATAAAAGGGGAAAGTGGTTGAGGAAGATACCCAGTGTCAACTTCAGATCTTCACATGTTTACTCACATGCAAACACAAACACACACAATATCCACATACAAAAAGAATTATAACAATAGAAGGAAGCAAGAGTGAATATTATTAATCACAAAATGCTAAAATTTATTTTGAAATAATCTACAACTGTAGTATGTCTTTCCAGGTCATGATCAATAATGGCTTTACACCAGATAAAAATGATTATGAATTTTGTGCCAAAGTGGAAAATATGATTATCCCCCCACAAGGGCATTTTGGGATATCTGCGGCAACAGGAGGTCTTGCAGGTAAATCTCACCATCTTTTAATACTGAAAGCCTGTGAATGATTCTTACTATTGATAGTATGTGTAAGGTATATTGACTCGATTCCATTTCGCTCCTCCATCTCTTTGGAGCCTTCCCATGGCCCATTCTGCCAGTCTTTGGCTGTGTTGGCTGCATGAATGTAAATTACACCATTTATTTAGGCACATTTTGTAGTGAAGGGGACATATTTCAAGTTGAGGATATAAAAAGTTAATTCCTAAGTGTTTTAGGGCCCTTAAAGTTGCTGTATCATATACAAATGACTTTGGAAACCCAAGGAAATATTATTTGGGGCAAACCTTAATGAAAATAATTGCTGTTATTTTCCATGTTTGTTGATGAATGAAGCTCCTCCACACCAGTGCTGCTTTGTACTGAGCGGCACATCACCATATAAATCCTTCCCAGACTATAGCTTGTTCTGTACCACCCAAGCAAAGAGGGAGGAGGTCTGTATCCCCATTTGTTTTCAGGTGTTGCCAAGTCCAGGTGAAGGCAGTTTCTCGGGGGTCACACGGTCACCGCCAAAAGTCACGGTCTGGATTTTTGATTCCTGACTATTGAGCACATGCTCTCTCCTCAGGTTACCCAGTCTGTAGTGCCTCAGAGTCTGTTTACCCAGCTCCCCCTCCAGAGCTCCCCAGGAAAGGCAGAAGTAGAAGGGTGCTGAGCACTTGGAATAAATCACTCCACACCACAGTATGGATGCAGCCGCCAGGACTGGCACAGCAGTTTACTACTGTGGGGTCCAGTCTCCTTGGTTCCTGCCTTTAGCTTAAACAACCTGGTATTAATCTGACTTTGCACGGTTTAGATAAAATAGAAGTATTATTATCAGCCAGCTGAGCAAAGCAAGTATGGAAGGGCAGCGCTGGTGTGCGCCACAGGAAGGGCACTGGACACAGGTGGACGGGGTTTGTGCACGTGGAACAGGGCTTTTTCCGTGCAGGAGCACCCTTCACTGTCAGGCACACCCCATTCATTCCAGTTAAACCCTGCTGCACTGCTGACCTGGGGTTAGGTTTAGAGTAGTTCTAAAGTCAGGCTTTCATAAGTAGTAGATACCTGTCAAGTAAGTTCACAAATATGAACAATTACTTAAAACAATTCTTGAAATTTTTTTCTTAATTGTAGATGACCATGATGTTCTTTCTTTCTTGACTTTCCAACTAACTGAGCCTGGGAAAGAGCCAGTAAGTACCCTTTTTCCAAGCAGTTAATTTCCAGTTATCAGTGGTGTTGCCCTAACTGTGGGTTTTGAATAGACTGACGTCAGTCTGGGTCCTGTATGAGTTCCTGAACCTCTGTAGCATGCTTGATGCTTGTTCAGTCTTAACTTCTGGATTTTGTCAGGGTTAAGTGAGACCAGTGTGCGTATAGTAAATGCTCACTGAACGGCAGTCGTTACTGTGATTTCCGGTATTGTTAAAACCAGGAAGAAATTAGCTGTAGTTTAGGTAAGGGACAGCCTCAGGCCAGTGGTGGGGTAGTGAGCTCGAGAAGGACACATGCCAAATGTCTCACCAGTTCCCTTCCTGTGACCTCTTCTTCCCTGAAAAAGCCTACGCTAGAAAAGGACATCTCAGAAAAAGAAAAGGAAAAGTACCAAGAGGAGTTTGAGCACTTCCAGCAAGAACTGGACAAGAAGAAGGAGGAATTCCAGAAAGACCACCCTGACCTCCAGGGGCAGCCAGGTAAGTTGTGGCTGGGCTGGCTCTGCAGGGACACCTGGGTGTGTACTGTCTGCCTCATCTCTGCTGTCTCAGCACACTCAGAATTGCTGGGAACAGTGGGAAAGCAAGTCCTGAGTCCTTCAGGGCCTGAGAGTGTGGCTTGTAAGGAGCGCATGAAGAGCACCATAGCTTTGTGAGTGAGCATGAGCCCCTGTGTGGGAGCCCGGTGAGGATGGCGTTGACATGTTCACCACTGTGTTCTCTAAACCAAACAAATGAAAAACAAGAGACGGTGCTGACCTCATGGATGACTGCTAAGTAAAACTATTAAAAAAGGGGAAAAAAAGAGCTCTCTTTCCCACTTCATTGTTACACATGGCTTTATTGAAAAGTTTGGACAGTTTTATGCATGTATACAATGTATTGGGATTATATTGCTCCATTTCCTTTGTTACTTTCCTTTCCCTCTGAACCCTTTCTTTCCAGCTAGTCCAGTAGTGGCCATACCATTGAAGAAAATGACACCCTCTTTCCCAGTACCTTCCCCTTACTACTGAGAATCCTGGACTTTAATGGTGGAAACTTTAAGTGCTAGTGTAAGCCAAAAAATACTAAGGCCTTGTATGTTGTTACATTCTCAAAAACGTAACAGTGTCAAGGCCAAACAGACTGAGTGCTTCGTACCTGCTAGTTTTATGTCTGGTCTGTTCCCCACCAGCTTGATTGATAGAGGCTGCTTGGTAAAGCCTGTGTCTAGCATTTGAATGCTGTGTAATGTACTGTTCTCACAGTTATCAGTGCTATGATAACTAGCATGTCATCTGTGAAACTGCTTGAAGTAGATGTACAGTTGGTTGTTCTCCAGGTGTGTAGAGGATTGTAATGATTGTAATTTGCGACTACTTTACAGCGGATGACATATTCGAGAGCATAGGAGATCGCGAGCTCAGACAGGTCTTTGAGGGACAGAATCGTATTCATCTGGAAATCAAACAACTTAACAGGCAGCTGGATATGATCCTTGATGAACAGAGGAGATATGTGTCTTCCCTGACAGAGGAGATCTCCAGGAGAGGAACAGGGACCCCAGGGCAGCCGGGGCAGGTAAACTTTCCCACACAGCACCCCAGCCAGAGACAGTCAGAACAGTGCTGTGCTCACGTGACCCGTGGTGCTAAGCTGCTTCATCTTGCTTCCCTCCAGGTTTCTCAGCAGGAACTGGATACTGTTGTGAAGACCCAGCATGAGATTTTGAGACAAGTGAATGAGATGAAGTAAGTACACAACAGTCATGTGTGAACATCTTGTCCCTTGTCCTAAAGAAGCTTGTGTGCCTGCTCCCCTGTGTCAGTGTCCTTCAGGAGGGTAAGCTGCAAATGTCTAAATTTTAAAAACTATTATAAGCTGTAAAACGGGGAAAGTGCTACTATTAGTGTCTTTAAAAACAAAGAGGTTTACTGTAGTGAGTGGAGACCAGGTGTGGGCCTGTCTTTGGAAATTAGGGGACTGAAGTAAGCTGTCTCAGCACTGTGAGAAATGCTGGGGGTGGAAGGACATTTACTGTGGCAGGCCTGGAAAGCAGGCATGCTTGCCCAGGAACAACTTCTGATGCCATCTCTGCCCATGACAGGCTGAGCAGAGCTGGAGTAGACAGTCTATGGGCAGTTGAATGACATATCTCTAATGGCAATGGCTGACTCACACAGGTAGCCAGCCTTCTCAGTGTCTGTGACGGAGAGCACAGCCCATGTGTGTTTCCATAAGCTAATATGTCAGTGTTCCCACCTGGTACAACCCTTGACAGGAGATGTCAAAGTGAGTCTTTTCAGGGACCAGGTTAAACAGAAGATCAGAAACTAATGACTCAACTGACGACTGGAAATTTGTAATTTGCTCCTTAGCATTGCATTTAAGAAACATTTTTGTTGTTGGTTCACAATTCCAAAGTGATTACTAAATAGCTAAATAAATAGATTTATTTTAGACGTCTACTGGGTTATATAACATAGTATTCTTTATTTTGATACTATTTTTCAAAAGATTTATTTATTTTTATAATTGGGTGGTTTTACCTCTATGTATGTTCATACCGTGTGCATACAGTACCTTCAGAGACCAAAAAATGGTATTAGAGTTCAAGGAACTGAGGTTAGAGGTGGTTGTGAGCCATTATGGGAGCTAGGGATGAAACTCGGGCCCTCTGGAGAGCAGCTGGTGCTCCTAACCAGAGCCATCTCTCAAGCCTTTTATTTTCTTGAGTTTGAACGTTAGACACTGTAAAACTGATACATTAAGCTTCCACTTATCTTTCACCCATCTTTTAATGTTGATATTTTACATAACCAAAATGTAATTGCAAGAACCAGGAAATTAACATTCATACTATATGATCAACTAAACAAATGACCTAGTGGGTCCTCCGTCATTAGTGAGCTGGAGTGCGTGCGCGCTCACACACACACACACACACACACACACACACACACACACTCTGTACGTATTACCCCTTTCAGACCTGCTACCTCATGCTCCCACCCCATCTGCTTATCACTAGGATGTTAAAGCCATAGATAGGACGCAAACGTCATGTCTAGAAAGAGCCTTACCCAGACAGGCTTATGGTTGAAGGTATTTTCAGGGAATGGAAAGAACAGAGTAGGAGATAAAGTCAGAAAGGTGCAGAGACTCTTGGTTTTTATCTATTGGGGGAAATCACCAGACTTGAATGTATTTTCTACTGTCTGTGGTGGACACATGGTGGCTTACCATTCACAAAGCTTTGAAAGTACCACTAGCTAAAGTACCTTCATCATTTTTGGGTACATTCATCCTTTTATGTAAACAAGTCTGTTATATTTCTTACACTAATAGAGTGCTTACCATTTTTTACTGTCGTGCTGTCTCTCAGATCCACAGGGCTCCGTGGCAATCAGTGTGTAAGGATGGTGCATAGGGTCAGTGATTGTCACACATTCCTTCATACTTGAGTCGGCAGTGCCGCTTGTGCTGCTTTGTTGACTGACTTCCTGGTGGCGTTCTGGGCTCGTACCTGAGGGCCATCTGATAGGAGCACAGAGTGGTAGAGGCACAGTTCCTGTCAGGAGTCCCTAAGACCAACAGAATCTCTGGTTTGCCAGAGGCACTCAGAGAATGCAGAAAGCTACTGTGAATCTGGTCATGGTTTGTTACAAGAGCAGCAGGGTCATCACGAAAAGGTGGGTACGGAGGAGAATGCAGGAACACCGAAGCTCCCTCTGCCCCTCCCAGCAGCCGCCCAGTGCACGCAGGGCTTCAGGTCTTGAATTATGATCTGAAAGTGATAAGCGTGCATTAAAAACTGTACTACCGGTTTTGAGCTTTATCTTTCCCTGGGCTGTGATATGGTTATTGGAATGATATGGCTACAGCAGGCAGTGGTGTCTAACCTCAAATCTCAGTCAACCACTCAGTTGTCAGAGTCAGCAAGCAAAACTCTGCTGAGCTATGTGCTGAGCCAAAGTGTTCTTCATGTGCTAGAATTTTCCCTAGAGAACATTCACGTAGGTAGGGGTCTGTGAGCTGGCCTTCAGTGCTATCCCAGTCCCTCTGGAGGTCGTCCTTTAAGGTTCCAGTGAGCAGGCATGCTCACTGCAGTGTTTATGCAGACTGTTCACACTTACCTCGTGTTACAGAATCAGCCAGGAGCTCACAGGTCATCTCCTGGGAGCTGGCGTTACATCAGGTCAAGCTGCACTCTTCTAAGTACACATTTCTTTCCTGGGGCTCTTTTTCCCCTTTTTCATTTCCTCTCCCTCCCCCCACTCCCCTCATGACCTCTCCTTTCAGGCAGGGTCTTTCTGTGTAGCCCAAGCTGGGCTTGAGTTCCCAGTCCTCTGCCTCAGTCTCCAAGTATGGAGCTTATGGGTATGTGCCACTATGGCTTCCGGTTTTGTATTTGTTTCTTTGGGTTTTTGTTTTTTTAACAATCTGATGTGTTGAGCTTAAAAGGGGTAACCATTTGAAATGTATAACTGGAAACAAAAAAGAAAACCCTTGTGATATCAAAGGGCTTTTGTGTTCCAGGAACTCCATGAGTGAAACGGTGCGGCTGGTCAGTGGCATCCAGCACCCTGGCTCGGCAGGCGTCTATGAGACCACTCAGCACTTCATGGACATCAAAGAGCACCTGCATGTCGTGAAGAGAGACATCGACAGCCTGGCACAGCGCAGCATGGTGAGGTCCCTGTGCCATGGTTTGAGCTATGCTCATGTTCTGTCCTAACTGTCCCATAGGTTCCGAAAGCCTTTGGATTTGGGTTTCCTGGGTAGAAAGCAGAATTCGGTGCCTGCACTTGTCATTGCTTACTAGGCAGGAGCAACACTAAGGGTTTTGGGTATGGCATTTATATTACCAGGCAATGAAAATATTTCTATTCCCATTTTAATATCCTCTATAATCCATTATTTTGAACTTGCTTGAGAATTTATACATATACATGAGGTGGACTTTTTTTTGATTGATTTTTTTTCTTTTTTTAGTATAATATAGTCTGATAATAGTTCCCCCTCTCTGAACTCCTCCAAGATTCTTCATTTGGTAACAAAAAATGTGCAACTGGGGCTCTGTCTTCCCAGCTATTTGGCAAGCACATTTAGATCAGCTTTGTATTTGTATATATCTTAGGAAGCTGTTATTGTATTGGGTTTCTATACAGCCCTTCAGGTGGCCGTTAGTTTTAGCTGTCCCTCCTCATTTTCCTCTCTCAACTCCTTTTTCTTCCGTCTCCCCTTTGGTTCCTACTGTTCCAGTCCCCCTCCCCATACTCATCCATAAGTGTCTATTCTATTTCTTCTTCCTAGCGTGATCCAGTCCTCCTGCTCACTTCCTTACCCTGTAACCTTGATGATTGTATGAACTGTAGCCTGCTTACCAAAGACTTCACAGCTAGCATCTATATATAAGGAGACGCCTAGCATTTTTGTTCTTTGGGGTCTAGGTTATCTCAAGATTTTTTTTCTTTAAAAAAATCTTAAAGCTCCATCCATTTACCTATGAATTTCATTTTTTTAAATAGCTGAGTAATATTCAACTATGTAAATATACCCCATTTTCTTTATTCGTGAATACATTGACAGACATCTAGTTTGTTTTCAGTTACTGGTTACTATGTATAGAGCAGCAGTGAACATGCTTGAGAAAGTCTCTGTCATAGGATGTAGATCCTTTGGGTTTATGCCCACAAGTGGGACAGCTGGGTCTTGAAGTAGATCTATTTCTAGCTTCCTGAGGAACCATCACTTTGATTTCCATAGTGGCTGTAGAAGTTTGCACTCCCACCAGCAGTGGATAAGTATTTCCCTTGCTCTGTGCTTGCCAGCATAAGCTGTCATTTGTTTTATTGATCATGGCCTTTCTTATTGGTAAAAGAAGAAATTTCAAAGTATTAACTTGCATTTCCTTAATAAAAGATGTTTCTTTAAGTGTTTCTCAGCCATTTGAGTTTCCTCTTTAGAGAACTCACCGTTTAGATCTGTACTCTGTTTTTTACTTGGTTTATTTCTTTTCTTAATGTCCAGTTTTTAAGTTCTAT